CAAAAGCGAATTTAAACTAACGAAATCGGGCTAGACGGTTTTTACCAAAATCGAGAGATTGGCGAAATTATTATTAATCTGGTAACAGTAATTAATAGAAATTTTGTTTTTAAATATATTTTAAACAATTTTTAAGTGATTGGTTATTTCATGAGGATATTTCTTAAAAGTTGAATTAAATAATTGCTGGTCATTAAGTTAAGTATATTTTTATGTACTTGGATATTTAAAATTATTTGTTTATCTTGTTTTTCTTTAATTTGAAATAATAATTGATTTAATTTTTTTTCTATTTTATATTCTGGTTCATTTTTTAAATCAAAATTTATTGAATTAAATTTTCCTGATGAATCAAATTTTTGTTGATTTCTTTTTGAATTTTCCAATTCTTTATGAGTATTGATAATTTTTAGATTAAAAATTTTTATTAATGGAAGAAATATAGCTTGAATAATCTTTTTGTCTGGCTAAATAATATATATTTTATCAGAATTATTATAAAGTATTTCAATATTTTTAATATATCCAATATTAATTATTTTTTTTTTTACTTTAATAGCTTGTTTTGTTATATATAATTTATATAATCTAAAATAAATAAATAATTAATATAATATTTATATATATTGATTTCAATTTGTTGTAATCAATAAGAGTTTTATAATATTAATTTTTATAAAGCTAATCTTAATATGAGTTAATAATAAATATTTTTATAGTAATATAATTGTCAATAAATATTATTTTTCTTAATTTAATTTCTAATAATTTGTTTTTAAGATATCTCAAGTTGAATCCTACATTAGTATTATATGTTTTTTCAGATTCTTTATCTTTTTATTTATCAAAGTAAACTTTAATTTTAATGTTATTTTTTTGAGTATATAGATTTTTTTATATTGTTCTATTATTTTATTTTTTTATTTAAAACAAGAAACTGGTATTTTTATTTTCTGATTATTAATTTTAAAAGTTAGAATTTTTTCTTCCAATCTATAATTGCTTGATAACTATAAATTCGGATATTTTTAAAACAAATTATATTTTTTTCAGATTTTTATCTCCTAAAATTATTGGTAAATTTATTATTTCTTTAAGTAATTATTCTTTGTTTTTATTAATTCTAATAAGATTAATATTGACTTTTGAATTTTTTAGTCTATTTTATTTAGATATATTTTGAATATACAGTCAAACTCTTTATAGTTATTATTCTTGAAAAAGCAAAATTTAGTGACTATAGAGAAAATGTGACTATAAAGAGATTTTTTTATTATATTTATATGTAAATAAAAAAGCAAAATAGAATAATTATAGAGGGATATGACTATAATATGTGTAATTATAGAGAGATTTGACTGTAACTAATTGATTATATTATTGATATTATTTGAATTCAATTAAGTTAATTAATTTATTGTAATAACTCTTTTATTAGCTAATTATATTCCAGCAAAATCTTTTAAATATTAATAATTTATCTTTTTTAGTATCAGATATATTATTAGCTTGATATATATTTTCAAAGTCTTGTAATTATTTAATAGAATTTTGGATATCTTTATAGAAATTAACAATTTTTGCAAATAATATTTTTCTTGTTGATAAAATAATGATAGCTTATACTTAAATGATATTTGTTAGGTTTGCTAATTTAGTTATCATTTGATTAAATTATTGATTATTTATAATTAACTTTGATTCTTCTTTACTATCTTTTTCAAACTGGATTTAATATAATTAATTAATATTAAAATAAATTAAGTATTTTAAAAATTACAAGAGAAAAGCAAATCTCAATAGAAAACAATTTAAAAAATAACAAAAATTTTTAATAAAATTTATATAAAAAATTCAATTACTGAATTAGTAAAACAAATTATTTAATTATTAAGAGAATATTTTTAATATAATGAACAAGCAATACAAATATATATATATATATATAATTTTCATAAAAATTACAAATTTTATTATACAAAAAAAAGCTTATTATTAATAATAAAAACTTTGAAAATAATTAGCTAAATTACAAAATTCAGAAAATTAAATTATAATTAAAATAACTCATATTTATTAATCCTAGAAGAAATTCAAGAAGAAATTATAAAAGAAATTCAAGAAAAATTAAGAAAATTTAAAAAAAATATAGTTAATAATTTTATTTATTTACAGAGAATTTTTTTGATAAATATTTAATTAAAATTTTTTTATTCCATTTAGGAATTTTTTACTCAATGTTTTATAATATCTTATTTTAATTGCAAAGTTATATTTAAATAAAAAATTATTATAATTTATAAATTTATCTTTAAGTTATATTTATTATAATATAAATTATTATTATCTTTATATATTTGACTTCAAGATTTTGAAAATACTTTCTAGTTGTTCAGATTATTGTGTTAAAAAATATAACTGTTATTAATCTTTAAGTAGTTTTGTCACTAGTACTTTTAGTACTTATTCATATTTAATCTAATAGTTATAAAGTATTATTAATACTTTGAATTATTAAAATATTAAAAGTTTCTCTTTAAATATTTCTTTAAATTTTATAAATATCTTAAATATTTCAAAAATCAATCAAAATGATAACAAAAATTTGGTGCTTCCTTTGTGAATCAAAATTCAAAATAGTATAAAGCTTTATTACAAAGAACAATTATTAAATCCTTTGAGAATCAAAATCTAAAAAGCATTATTATAAAAATTCTATTATAAAAAAATAATTATTAGTTTCTCTTGTGAAAAAAATTTCAGACATTATTATAATTATATTATTTTGAAAAAATAATTATTAGTAAAAGAATTTTCTGTGAATTATATTAAAAAATCTAAAATAAATTAAGTTAAAGAATAAATAAATTTAATATAGCTTTATAATTAAAATAAAAGATTATAAAATTAATAACTTTGCAGTAAAGCTAAGAGATTATAAGATCAATAATAATTCTTTTATTTAAAAACTATATAATATTTATGACAAATATACTAAAGTAATTATACAAGAAACAAGAATACTTTGTCAAAGAGATATAGAGAGAAGTTTGTGCTTAACTACCTACTCTATATAAAGTGCAAATCAAACTTTTTTGAATAATTAAAAGTGAAAGATAACTAATTATTAAAACTATTACTATTAAGGACTTGTTTCTAATCTAATTTTAATAATTACAATATATATTGCTTTTATACATGTTTAAATTATAACTAAGTTGATATATAAATTCATGTTTGCTAGTTCACCTAGATTCTATTGGTCCAATTTTTACTTATTTATTTCACTTGTTTATTTACTTGTTTATTTATTCATTTACTTATTTACTTGTTTACTTGTGTATTCTATATGATTAGATTCTTCCAATAAAATATAAGATATTTATAATTCAATAATAATTAAGTATAAAATTATTTTGCAAAATAATTAACAAAAGTCCATATTATAATAATATAGGTAATTATATATTTATAATTTTATATTATTTTGTTGTAACTTTTTGTTTAACTTTCTCAATCTTTATATTTTGTTGTCTTACTTTTAAAATATAGAATTTCAAATATAAATATCATTTTGAAGAAAATATTTGATCAGTTATTATTGGTTAACTTTCTAATATCATGTATAATCATATTCTTATTTATTACAAATAGCAATTCTTTATTGTTTGCATCTTTTATTAAACAGTAAAAAGTTCTAGTTTTAAGTGAAGTCTCAAAGAGTAGTCTTTTCTTATTTATTTTCTGTTACCTTTATCTTTTCTATCTGTTTTTATCTTTTTAACTGTTTCTTTTTCTTTATTCAATAATCTACTAGTATTTATATAAATATTAGCTGATATGCAGTCTAACAAAAGCCTGAATAAACACAAGGTAGCAGCTGATACAAATATTCCCTTTCCATGTCTGTATCACAAAGCCGACTTGAGTCATTCCAACTACGTAAAAGATTTTTAAAAATGCTCTTGTGGTTGTCATCAAGTTTGAAGGCATTCAAGCCATGGATAATGAGACAATTTCCAGAATCAAATTCTTCAAGTAGCTTGCGATTCTCATAATTCCTCACAGTTATCCCAGATCCGTCTTCGTAAGCAGACCCTGAAAGAAGAATTTACCAAGATTATTAGAATAAACCACTCATGTGTGCGCAATCACTGTATTAAATGAATGCAAGATGATGAAAGCACAGATACAGCAAAGTTAATCTCTCTTTATCGAGATGCACGAAAATACCCAGATAATTCTTCTCAATATCAGCATAACAATCATCAGCAAACATCACTTCTGGTAATAACAGCGTCTCGACAGCATCTGTCCCTTCAAATCGATTTTGTTTTGCGCTGATGTGATTCCCAATCTACAGACACATTCACTCTGTTAGTTATCGCAGGATCATGATAACAGAAAACTTGTTTACACTATACCTGAAGAATCAAAGCACTCAAAGCATTATTGCTTTCACAAATAATTGGTATCGCTAAATCTGCGTCCTTTTGATTGTGTTTGAAAAAAATGGCTCCACGCTGGCTCCATATCCCCTCCCAAGTTTCCTTATCCGGCTCGTAGTTAAGGGAAATGAAATGTGAAAATCCTATTCTAAAACCTTCGAGCTGTGAAAACTTCTCCCTTGGAAAATTCACAATAAGTTCATCGAGAAAGTCGAGGACCGGCCGACGGACCGAAAATGACACCCTTTTCTAGAAAAAAAAGTGAGTTAACAAATAATAATAAAGTCATGACTGGTCAGAGCACTTAACATATATTCCAGTTTGCTTCCTCTCGCGACATATCAAGCGACGCCAGGCACTTAACAACAACAATCTTACGACCAGCTCGCCCTGGCATCCCACCTCCAGAATACCACCAAAATTAAAGGTTTCATCCAGTTCTCTCAGAACTTCAAGTTCACTATTTTCCATAGAAAGCACTTCAAGTGCGGCTTCCGAAAGCACTGGTTCCGATGGATACGTGACAAGATGCCTCTTTCGTTCTTTATCAATGGCGACAAGTGTACCCATATGCGCCTTAACAAGATCTGATGCTTCGCTTGAGGTTGGGGAGACAGAGAGGTCGGCGGTGCAGCCAATTAGAGTGAGAGCTGCCGTTCGCTTTATATTATCAATTTTAATTTGACTCCAGGCAGATGCCCCACCAAGGAGTTTGTGTATTGCAAGCTGCACCACTGTGCCAAACTTATAGGTATCCTCAAATGCTGCCAGCCAGTAAGAACTCCAGAGTGGTCGACCAAACCGGATAATATCGTATCCTGAAACATGTTCTATCTGTGGGATTCTGTTCACGTTCCTATAAAAAAACTTGATGAATGTATGACAATCAACAAAGGTCATGTACAAGAAACAAAGATAACAAACCTCAGGCAATCTGTTGTCGCTATGTAGATGAATGGTTTGTGCATTTGGAAGTTATACTCTCTTGCCTAAATAATAAATAAATAAGCTCATCACATATTAAAGTAATTTACTGTTGCAATTTAATTGAAGCTACGATAGTTGGTCGCCTATGCTTACCGAAGGATCTATTTCTTTCCGGGGTGCCAAATTGACAATAATAGAGTTTGTGTCAGTTAAGATCCCAACTACATAAAAGCCATTATCCATGAGCGCTTGACGAACAGCCCTAAATGGTATGTCTTCTTCTTCAGTATTAGTTTTATCTACAAAAATAAGTCAGAGCATGAGTCGGAATTAAATTACGAGTTCCTTAGAAGAAAAACAAATACTTACCAAATAAAACAGAAGCTTCATCAAAGAGGATATGTATTTTTCGTTCGTTCGCACTCAAACCCAACTTTTCTCCAGAAATCTGACTCTCAGCAATCTTCTTTTTATTAACATAAACATCGTCCCAGAAATCGGCTGCTAAATTCTAAGAGAAAGTTAGAATATATTGTTAATAATTAGCAAACGAGCAGGTTATCTAACCTTGTTACTTAGTAAGTCTGCAGGTTTCGAGAACAGATCCTTTTCATAGTATGTCTTGATCATAGCTCGGATCTACTGTCCTGCTAATCTGCGAGCAATATCTCTATCTTTCGCGAACACTAATTCATACAGTATAATGTTGCTCATCAGAGTTGCCGGTGGGTAACTGGTTGAACCTGTACTACGAAAACACACATATATGAGAGGGATCTTTGATGCAAGTTCACAAATAGATCTCGTCTTCCCATAGCCAGACGACTGGACAAAGGCCAAGTAATTGTAAAATGAACTGTCACTGGCAACTTCTTTTAAGCGGTCAGTCAACCCAGTTAGGAAATTGACTGGGTCTTGAAACTCGATTTTGAAAGCAATGTCCCAGACTAAGGAAATGATAGTTAGTATCCATTAGTTTAAAAAAAGCAAAGGCACAAGTACAAACCTCCAAGTTCAGGATGGTCTCTTATGTATTGAAGAGCAGATTTCGTGAATGGGTCCATATTTCAATTTATGAGAAGAGAAGAGAACGTGCATGTTTATCTCGTACCCTAGCAAAAAAAAGGATCGGAACACGTGCGTAAATTTTTGATCAGCCCGGCAAAACAAATCCGACGCAAGAAAATGAAAAAAGTAAAAAATACGAGAAACAGATGCCTAAATCCAGCTTGGTACACTAAAAAAAAGAGTCGGGAAGACAATTTTACATACAATCTCGACGCTAGCGCTACGGCTAGCCCTAGCCCTAATCCTAACCATTAAATTAACCTTTAACAATAATCACTACTACCGTAGAATTTTTCCGGACATACACAAATATCACATGATCCGACCATGTCTAGGGAATTACATGTACTTGCCTTACTCTCCTTCATGGGAAAAATCACGTTCTGGAACAATTGACATGCATCAAATCAGATTGTCTGATTGTCGCCACTGTAGCATTACGCAACATACGATGATCGATTCTGTGCTGGAGACATTTTTCTGTGAATTTTGCGGTTTTCTGTGTTCACAGGAGTCCATCGTCCCTGCTCTAAGTGCACACAAAGAAGTAAAATTAGAAAGAACTTAAGAGTAAATCATAGAGTTAATGAGTAAAACACAGTTGATATCGGTTCCGAGTTTATTGTAGTGCTTCATCATGAATTTATAGTTTCTCGTAAAACACTCGATATATTTCGTTCACTTTTGTTTGATCTTTCTCTTTGATTTCGCATGGTACACTAATATCGAAATCTGTTTTGTACACCAAAGAAAAAATATTAATGAGTTAAAGAATTAATAGAATAGTATGGTCCAGTATAAAAAGGTTGATACACCAAAAAGTAAAAGTAAAACTTTTTTAATTATAATTATAAACTTTATTAATTAAAAGTTTATAATTTTTTTACACTATTAAAAGTATGTTTTAATCTAATTTTGTACTATTTTTATTTTATTATCTTTTAATAAAATTTTAGATAAGACAAAACTTTTTGAATTTTTTTAAAAAAATAGATTTTTAATATTTTTTCTATAAATATGCAATTTTATAAATTTGTATTAAGCAAGTACATTAATGTATATATGATAATTATATTTTAAATTTAGCAAAATTGAATCACCAGTTATTGAGAAATTAAGCTTTAAAGTCTAAAAATTTGATTTTTTTTTACTATATAAAATTTATAAAAAACGACTAAATTATTATATAAAAAAATCAAAATAATCAAATTAAAAAAAGTTATTAATAAAATTTTTTATTTTTGTTTATATATAATAAAAAATTATATAAACATATTAATTATAATCTAAATATTATATTTGATAAAAAAAATTAAAATTTTAAAAGTAAAAAAAAATTTTTTTATTAATAGCAAAGTGGTGTATCAACATTTTTGCACCGGACCATATTAATAGTAAGTTTATCCTCTTTTGCTTCATTTGAAACATATGGTTGTAAATTTGGTATTAATGTCTATATAAAATTCCGTAGTCACGTATGCTAAAGTTGTATACAAACAAGTATAAACTTGTATCTAATACCGTTATAAAACTCATAATTACATGATTGATATGCTGATACAGTATTTTCTGGGAAAAATAATAATGAATTAATGAATATGATGAAAAGCAATATTAAACAGTGATTTACCTTCGTTTGGAACATATAAGCTGACATTTGTAAAGCCTAATATTCAAATAAACTTTGTAATTACTATAAAATGTCGATATAATTAATATGAAATGTTAATATGATTCATATTACGCACCTGTATCAGTTGAAATTTGAAATTGATTTTGGAGTAAAGATTCGACTGGTGTAAATTGTTTGTTTTTTTGTTCATCGCCTCATCAAGTTTTATGTCACCTTATCAAGTTCTTTTATTTCTTCCATTCTAATTTAAGATATTCTTTAATTTCTTCATGTGTTTTAGAATATTCTAAAGAGCTGTAGTACTCAGAATGTAAAATATTCAGTTTGGACTCAAGAATCGGCGTATTCGGTACCCTTTCCTCATTGAAATAGCAGATGGAGTAAATAGAGTTGATAAAGTCGAGAAGTTCCTCAGCAGTTGATCTGTTTTTTTTTGAATAGGATCCCAACATTTTCAATTATAAATTTGCACCATCCAAGAACATTAATTGGTATCTTAGGTCGTACACCTTCAAAGATCTCGCATACAAGATATCATGACTCCGCTCATCGAATGGTTGTTTGCCTGTCGCAATCTCGTACATAACCATCCAAAACTACAAATATCTGCAGCTTGAGTGTATGGCTTTCCATTTAACACTTCTGGACTGATGTAAGGAAGGACTCCGTAAATTTCAGATTTCTGAAGTCCGAGATCGGCAATTCGAGGATGATTATACAAAAATCACGATGCACAAATCCCTCTTGGTGAATTTTACGCAATCCATAACGTGGCTTAATTTTTGTTCTCACGTCAATTTGTATATGTGCGAAGATCGCCATGTTTTGCATATCTCATCAGTAAACATATCAGATCTGCACTTGAGAGCAGCCTTAACCTATTTTAAAAGGTTTGTTTGTATCAAAATCAAAAAAAGCAACATGTTTACATTTTAGAAATTGTTTATGTTTACTTCGTTTATAAACTCTGATGTAATTTGCTTTGAACCACGTAATAATTTCGTGTTCTCCATATCGTTTGAATTTGTTTTCTTCTTGATCCCAACCCCCTATTTTTAATCGTTCGTCCAACCAGGTTGCTTTATAAATTGAACCAAAACCTCCTTTTGCAAAATATTCAACATTGGTCAATCTTTCAAAGGGACCCATTCAAATATTCTTTAATTTCTGCGCATTCTTTTATTAGACTGTCGATATCTTGATTTTCGCGAGACCATTCAGCTTTATAAAGTTGATAGTGATACATATAACATTCATAGCAGTCCTTATTATTTCGACAGCTGGTACATATACTACAATCATGAATATTTAAGTCCTGATCAAAGCTATCCGAAGAACTATCTGAAGCTTTCATTTTTTGGTTGATGTTTTAGTGATTATGTGCTGTGTTTTTATATATAAACATATAGTTATTCAAACCTTTGAAAACAAACGAGACATATAATAAAAAAATTCCATTTACGTATGTTCGAATTCTGCGTTAATCACCGATCGTTTGCGTTATCATATCGAGGAGAGCCATAATTTCGTTTGTTTCTCGTTGTTGTACTAAATGGTCATACCTTTGTCATCAGCGTGTTAAAAGAAGAGCCATCCATACCTTATGTGTTAATCATACTCTGACATACCGTGCCATTATTCTGTATACTCGATCGAGTAAACAAGGTTACGATAACGAAAATTTTTATAGTAATTTTCAAATATAACATATGAGCTATTATTATACTTCCGTTGATATCATTCCGGAATCTGCGACATCGCAGAAAATCATCGTCCCCAAGCCCTTTATTGTTAGATCTGCGTTTGATTTTCTTTGCAGTATCGATATCATATAACATGCACATGAGATTAAATTTAATTGGCGTATATTCTAAAAAAACAGAATACGATGTACATGTACGTGGTTCATTGACTCTTTGACGGGCAATCATTGAAAGAGTACTTTAAAATTCCGGTTTTTACTCCAGTAAATTGATTTTTTGAACCAGAACTATAAGTTTTTGGTCAACTAGACAAATAACTGGAAAAATAACCGAAAGATTCACAATTCCATCAAAAAATATTATTATTGAAATTTTGTAAATACATGTACCGTATTGTTTAATTTTAAATTAAAATTATTAAAATAATAATCGGCTAATTAGTAAATTCAATTTCAAGTTTGGCCAAATTATAGAATTTTGTTGATTTGTCAGTTTTCCACTTGGACAGCAAGTATATCATTGAAAATAATTTGAATGTTGGTATAATGTAAAAAGAAATACTACATGTACATGTATTAATAACATAGTGATAGTAAATAAACGACAACAGTTACTACACGTACATGTATTGTTTAAAATTCTGCAAACTAATGTACGTGCATGTAATAAATAGGACTAATACGCTAAGGTTAAATAATAGTAAGTAACAAAAGCGATATTATGATTTTTACTTGATAAGTAAATTTCGAGTTAAATAACTCGATAGAACGTTGCACTCATAGTGTTACCTTCATTCTCTTTGATTTATCTATCTCTTTGATTTCTATACTAAGATAAGATTGGAATCTTTTTGCACCACTGAATTAATAAGTGAGTGATTTAGAACATACAGACTGACACTTATAAACCTGATTTATAATTACTTGCAAAGTCAATATTATTAGAAACAAGAGTGGCTGTATCATGCATTTGAGTGGATGTTTTGTTCAAATGATTTCATCTCTGCCTTTTAGTTTAAGACACTTTCTCCACTTTTCTAAAGAGCTATAGTACTGAAAATGTAAAGTATTCAGACAAAGTTGCCAAGCTTCTTAGCAACTGGTCTGTTTTTCCAATATTTTTCAATCATAAATTTCATCATCCAAGAATATTATTCGATATCTTAGGCCGTTAGCGTCTAATATAAGACTTCTATCATGGTTCCGCTCATCAAAAGGTCATCTACCTGTTACAATCTCATACATAATCCTAAAACTTACAGCTCTAGTATATGACTAATATAGAGAGGAGGTACTCCCAAATTTCTTGATTAAATCTAAATCAGCAATTTGATGATTTCAAAGCGTACAGCTCGCGTCATTTATACTTAGACGATTAGTAAATCTTATCGTACATGTAATTAATGGAGCTTACCCTAAAATTCTACACAAAAAAAGTTATATTTAGCTGTTTTTTTTTTTGCAGAAAAATTTCCTAATATTACATACAGATTTTTTATTGGTTTTATAGCACCATGGTCACTATTTACTAAGAGTATAGGGTTAAAGTAAGGTAACGGGTCCTAAAATTTTTAAGTTATATTTTCAGTACCACTATTAAATCTGGGGTCCCGCGTTACAACCAGTCCATGTTTAAATTCATTTAAAAATTAATCTGCGCG